CTCTCAAAAACTTTTTGAATGACAATTGAAAATTCAGGGGGAAAATTGTTTTCTACAAGCAACCAGGCAGGAACTGACAGAACAGGTGTAGCAAAGATGTGACTGTCAGCACAACACATTTACCACGGTTTCTGGGTCCCTAGCTCACCAGCTTAAAATAGAAACTCAGACCTTGCAGGCACTCAGAGTTTACAGATTTCTATCTTATTACAAAGGACAGGTAGACTTAATAATTGACATGACCTTCTAGCCTTTATAGCTCTTGTGTCTACTTCCATTACTACTTCTCCATTTCTTCTCCGATGCATACAAAATATATACAGAAATAATTTTTTTTTTAGAAAATCAATGCTTTGCAGTGAGAAGGATCCCTAAACACCAGTTAACTAGACCTTACATGTTGCTGGGTCCAGAGCAATGAGCCTCCCCCCGTTATACTAAATCATTACAATGGATGCAATATTCCCCAGTTTGATGGTTGAGTATATAATTTACACTAAGTTCTGGCAAACACTAATGTGACCTCATCAAAGGCTGTTAATGAAATGTAGCTCTGCTCAAATTCACCACTGCTAGCCAACTATGAAAGTCTTGCCTGAAGAAAACTACAAATAATACCTCAAATGGAAAATGTACAAAATACAATAGTCTCTTCTGAAGTAAGGGCAGTCTTCAGAAAGATAGAAATGGCTTTTCAAGACTATTTTATTTTACATTCACCAACTATGGTTGTTAGCATTTCCAGCTGAAGCCTCAATTCAGGGACCAACCCAATACAGTTAACTCAGAAGGAATGTATTGGTTGAATTAATTTTCCTTTATTTTTTGAGGTTCATTTTTTAGATACAGGAGAGGAAAAAGTGATCACTTGTTAGAACAATGGAAGCATATACAGATCATATTGGAAGGAAGTCCAGCCTAGAAACAAAGGTTTTAGATAAGCTACTACAAAATGAAAAAGGAAAAAAAGAAATAAGCATAAACACCTGTTTAAATGTCTTGAAGCTGCATGAGCAGGAAGACACATGAAACAGGCATTTCTATTTGACCATAAAACTTGTGCTACTTTAAACAGTGTTACACTGAATTTTCTCAGGAGAGACAACGTGCCGATACACATATTATTTTCTTCTAAAAATTCATGTCTCGGCAAGCTATGTCTTCAGTCATGTGCAGCACTGTAAATTAGATCACTTACACCTATCATTAATGGGAATTTGACAGAGCCAAGCCCCAGGAATCTGATTTTAGTTACACATGGCCAGGGGTTGATTGATCAATGCAGACAGGCAAACAAAAGGACTATAGAGTGCATTTGATTCTTCTTTTTTTTTAACAAAACACAGCTCTAATGACACTGCTCATATTAAACTCCTATAATTGCATCATTAATTTCCCTAGGATAATATGCTTCTGTGATTTTTGGAACAAAGAACAGCAAAGCAATGAATCCTGCATGCCAATAAAACCAATGGGGTTTCACACAATTCCTCAGCTTTGTCTTTAGTTTGAGAGTTTATTGATCACCTTAAAATACAAGGGCCGCTACCTCCTCCACTGACCTAACACTGGGAGCACATCAAACTGCCTGGTGATTTACAGGAGAGCTAACGGCACCTGTTTCTGCTCAACTGGCATCAATCCTTTCTGCCCTCATACTCCTGCCAATATTTGTGTAAAAGCCTTCTTAATACCCAAATAATTCATATCACCTTTGCGTGAAATATGATCTAAACTTCTGATTCATAAAATTGAAAACACTTTAGCACACAAACTGCAACCCTGTTGATTCTTCTGTAAATGGGACTGACATTTTCCACATTAATTATCTTCTCATAAATACATCTTCTTATAAATAATCCCACATTATAAAATCGTCACAGTGATTTATTGATGCTTTACAAAAAACAATAGTTAGAAAATATTTTAAATCAAAAAAGCAACAGAATTATTAGAGTAATATATAAAATGTTTCATCAATAACTGTATGAAGAAGAAGCAAGTTTTAGGGTCTCCAAAATTCAGAGAGAATTCTGCCTCTTCAAAAGATTACAAGCTATTGAAAACCTGAGGCTACTTGTAAAGGAGAAAGGCACGTATCAGGGCAAAGATCCCTTTAAAAACTACACTGAGAAAAATCTGTACCCGTTTGGCACTCTGCGTAATATATTGCAACACTTCTGATCCAGTATACAGAGCTCTTAAACTAAGTATGACCTTGCTTGGAGCAGCAAAGTTAATGCAGGATCCTCTCACTCTCAGACAGCATTAAATGGGAAAATGGCAACGATGAGGGAAAAATTTCTTGCAGGCAGGAGAGAAGTATCTGGGAACATTAATGTTCTGCCATTGTAAATGAATGTTGTGTCAATGAGTCATGTCTTGGTGCTGTGAATAGGAAAAGGCCACAGAGCTGAAAGCCTCTGAATGGTACTGCTCAAAGGTTAACCATCCTGACCCTAGACAGGAAAAAAGCAACAACAGCAAAGAAGTGCTCCCTTTAGTTATCTCCACATTGAAACACAAATAATGAATTTTGTTTACAAAAATGAAGCCATTATTTACTAGTAACCATGCCAACTTCAGTAAAAATCTGAAGACATAGTCTGTGGGTAAGATGGAAAATTCTAGAAGTTTTTTGAAAATTCTGTATTCAATTTTTGGCTGAGTAGCAAAACCATTGACTTATACTGCACAAATATTTTGTTCTTAGTGAAAAAGTTTAGACTTGCCATTACTATAAAGTGGAGTAGGACTTCCCATCACGGAATGAAGGCCACTTTATCAGCACTTTGCAAACACTTCATATTGAAACAAGGGACTCCAAGGTTCAAGGGATACATAGTTTATTTTAATTAGCTCCCATTTACAAACACTACTGTAGCGATGGATACAGTTATTGTAAACCTGCAGACACAAGAAATCCTTCATGTGGAAGGGCCTTATACTTTGTAAATTGTAATTTTCCTCTATCAGACTCAAGAGAACTGAATTTTGTGCAATGCTTGAATTCTGGTCAGTGCCTACATATACATCACCTTACAAGTGAACACTTACGTTACACACCAGTTATAAAAAGAAGTTTAAGCACAGCCACGCATGAGTTGAAGTCTGCCTGCTATCAGGTGCTTCTCATATACAAAGCAATTTTCCTTACACATGCCTTGCAAAGACAGACTTGTAAATACAAGATCGCAGGTAGCCATCAAACTGTAAAAACAAACATCCTCTGAAATGGTGTTAACAAAAATAAAAATAACCCATTTATTAAACAAGTTCATGTTCTGGTAAAATTATTTTTTATCATACTTACAAAACTTCCCTAAAGCCCAATCTCACCTTAATACTGGCAGGTTGTCAGGGTCACAAATAAACTGTGCTGCAGAAACACACCATGATAGCTCCATGCAATGCTAACTACACTGCTTTGTACCCCATTCCCCGAATCTGGCAGGAGGAAGGTTCATTATCTACCATTCAGTGAACACAACCAAGGCCTGACCTGTCCCTGTTTTGTATCCTGGGGAGGGCTTCTTTGATGACATACCACTGGAATACAGCTCATATGCGCCTGTTCCTGCACAGTAACAAAGTTCCACACTTGAGTTAATAAGCCTACCCAGAAACAAGAGGCAAGGAGGGTACTATGCAGGTTTTGAAGAAGTCAGCAAGAGTCAAGGAGTAATACAATCTAGGTTTTTCCTTTATTAGATTATCCCAGCTTTTCATTATCCTCCTTCTAGAGAATGTAAATTGTGATCTCCTGCAAGATACTAAGCAAATGTCCCTCACTATAACTAACTTAAGAAGTTCCCACCATGCCTCTGCAGGATCTCCCTTCCTCCTTTTCCACCAAGATTCAGGGTGGATGTGCAGGAAGGTGCTGTGCCAGGTCACTGAAATGATCTAGGTTAAAAAGCAAAAGCCGCGTGGGCCTAAATATGTAATTCTGTAGTGCCTGGTTCTACAGACAACTAAACAAATGCAACACAAAAGGCAAGAAGCTGCCACACCAGGGAGCAGCTGCCCAAAAGTGCCTTAAAATCATTGTGGAGACAAAGAAAAGGCATCACATAACAACGCCCTTAGCAGAATTCCAGTTTGAAGAAGCCTCCTAATGCTTCTCAGTGTATCAGTAACCCTATGAAAATCTAACTGTTCACTTAAACAAATGATTTTACACATTTTTCTTTAGTTGTTACTTCCTTAGGAAACAATACACTTTTCTGTTTGTTTCCCTAATGAACATACCTTAGAGTTATCAATCCGCCCCCCCCCTTTTTTTTTTTTCATGTTTACCTCCTCCAGTTTATTAGAAACATCTCATTTGGCTTTCTAGTCTCCATTTCTAACATACTTAATGATAGGGTTTGGAGGCTTTGGGACAAAGAATAGAGATGGTCTGCTTCAACTTGGCAGAATGTTATTCTTTTCCCCAGCTGTTAATCTCAAGACTTTCTTCTTATGTCACGTAGAACAAACCTAGAAAAAATATACTTTATCTTTTACTAACTCCTTTAAACAAAGGTAGGTAATTTTGAAAGCATCCTTTAAATCAAGAAGTACAGTACTAAGCTGAGGTATTCTGGTATTTGCCAAAGCTGCTTTTGTTTTTTTAAGCACACTGACAGTATCTCCCTCTTAGTTTAGATGAGAATTAGCAATTATTTTTTTAACCATAACGTGAGTGATTGAAAACGTGAAAAGCCTCTCCAGTCTTGTTCTCTAAAGTAATATTTTCTAAGGAAAAAAGGCCAATTAAACAGATGGAGATATGAACAGAGGAGTAAATCTCCACGCAAAGTAACAGTTCTTGCAGGCAGTTAACCTCACTGGAATTCACTTGCTGGTATGTGGCAAGGGAAAAAAAAAAAAAAGCAAGCAGAATCTTGCCCACAGAAAGATTAGGAAATCACGACCATAAAGTGTCAAGTTTTGGCCAGCGCAAGGTTCGAAACTTCAGGATGAAAACTAAAACACATTTAAGAAATGACACGTACCTTATCTACTGGGAGAAAGTCATTTTCAACTTCTATTGACCTTGGTCGTAGCTTTATAGGTTTGTCTTTGAAGATATCTCCAAAGCCAACACCCTTGACCTTTTTGGGTTGGATTGTCGTGCCTCCATTGGCTCCTTCTGATTTTGTGCTGCAAGAGTCACCACCATCACTCTCAGAGCCCGCAGCATCTTTTAAGCCTATGAAATGGAGGGATGAAAGAAGGAATCTTAGGTGTGAAGCTCATTATTTTCAAAACAGATTGTGACTGGAAGATTCTCCCTCCCACCATCCTCTATAAAGGAAAATGAAACCAGAAGAAAGAGGTAGAGAAGATGCTCTCTGTGCCATGTGCTCATTTTTGAGTTTAAAATATAACTTAATTTCATGCCATTGGTGTACCACTTAGAACTTACACCAATCCACAAAACATGCAACCTCCAGCATCAAAACTTCATGGCCATTCTCTGAGTACCAAGAAAATCCTTCTTCCTCAGACAAAATTTATTTGGAAGAGAACTCAGTAAATTAAAGAGTTAAGTTCAGTTGTAGAGCAGCTATTGTATAAAGCCACTTCAAGCTAACAAGCAATCAGACCAGGCGCACTGTACCTTAAATCCGTGACTCATATCAAACCAATTATGGAATTAGTATCTAAAGCTACATTACCTAACTGAGAAATATAAAGCTGAAAGCTGGTCAAAGAAATTTGCAATCAAATAAGCTGCATAATGTGTTCCCTGCTGAAAATTAAATCTCTCTGCAGCATAGACAGCCTCACAAGCACCCATGCAAACTATCCTCTAGGAATACAATAAATCAAAACTGACATTCTGTTTTGCATTACTTCTTACAGTGAATAGGAAAATTTATCTGCACTTATCTGAAAATATCTGCTGTTTGAATAGCAGAGGCCATGTATGTAATATGGCGATGCTTCAGCCATTTTACAAAATGGTGCAGAATTAGGCCAAACAGCCACTGGCAGCAAAAGTGACCAACTGAAGTTTGTTTCAAATGAAACAGCCCCTTAGTTCATTTAAATTTTCTTTCCTAGATTACATATTGACTTAATTATGTTTCCAGGAAACCCACAGCAATTGCTGTTACTACAGCACTAATTCTAGCTAGTAATAGCAAACTCAAATCCTCACATTGCCCTCATAAGCATTTGTGGATCTTACAAGTCAAAGAAAGAAAAATCTCAAAGCAGCTTATCTTCTGAACTATTTTTATATCAGATCCACAAAACTATAGCAATGAATTTTCATCAGAAAAGGCTGCTAGCATAGAAAATTCTTATTTAAAATCTAGACACCTAAAATAGAGATTTTATACAAATCTCTTTGTCTTGTCCCTTTGTTAAACAAAGTAATGTTACCCAAAAATTTCTGTATTTCTGACAAAAGGAATGATACTAAGATGGACAAAGTCTACGGGATCCCTATAGAAGGCCTGCAGCTTAAGGAGCATGTGGGAAGTTTTATAAAATCTTCACAATGCCTCAGTTTTTACGATTCTCTGATGTAAACTCCTGATGTAGCAACAGAAACAGAATGAAACTATTCCTCAGCTGAAAGCACCTGAATATAACTTCCAGCCTACACTAGAACAACCCTTCAAAACCAAGCAGAGCAATTAAACTGAAGAAAAAGTATTTTGAAATCAATGAAAATCTTTATGGATAAAATTTTAATATTAACAGTTGAGTCCTTTGCTTTTGCCTCCTTGACTCAAGTGATACCTTTGGTTTTAACAGTCTCCATCCAAAAACTTTCTGCCTTTCTGGTGAGCAGCAACTTGTTTGGGGGGGGGACTTCTTGTCATCCTGGCAATTAATTGTTTAGAAACATGATTACCCAGTAAAAGATAGCAGCTTCTTCAAGGGCTATTTTAAGCTTCTCCAACGAACCACAGAAACCAATGTAAATCCTAAGGCCTACAGGCACAACTTCAAGATCTAGGATGCAAAGGGGTCATCTGTTAAATTGGTTTCAAAACCAGAGTGCTGCTAAGAAATGAAATCAGGAATTATGTATCAAGCCAGGATATTTAGCAAAACTGTTAAGCAGAAAAGTCATTATATGCTGCTCTCAGATCTTCTGTATCTGAAACATGAGTGTAAGACTGGAATTAGAGAAAGTTCCCAATTAGAAACAAACAAAACGGCTAAAGACTAATGAAAATGCTTACTCTGTCCTCCTCAGTGGCTGCCACATCTACCTATTGAACATAAGTAACATAGTGATCTTGATCTCTTTACTTGGCCTTTTTTATTTTTCCAAGAAGGGCCATGAGGAGAAACTTCAAATCTGGTTTCACTTATTTATTATGGTAGTTAGAACGGTAGTATTCCTACCACCAGTGAAGTAAATTCTGTGTGTTGCTTCTTTACCAGACCTCATGAAAACAATAATTAGGAAATTCAAGCATGCAGTGCGATCCTCATCTGTGCTGTGGATGGCAGCAGGAGAGTGATTAACTGTAGCGAAGCCATTCCACAGTGCAGAGGCACTCAAAGTAAATAAAGTAAGCCAAGAAGGTATAAATCTCTTCAGGCAACACAGCAAAGGCACTGCCTCTTTCTTATTCCTACACCTTGTTGTGACTTAGGCAGTAACAGAAGAAGCTGCAAGTTCTAGAAAACTGGACCTCCCCAGCTTTGCAAAATACCAGTTACTAGGGCCCTGGCCAAGACAGACATTAGAACCAATTTTGTTTACTACTTCTAAATGCAAAGAGAATGGTCACCAATCAACTATATGGACTTACTAATAATATTTCTCAGTTTAAAACATCTACACCTAGAACTCAAATCACAGTTACTGATGCAGAGGGTTGACCAATGTACAGGGGGGTTGTACAAGGGGGTTAGAGGAATTCGCTTGCTTAAACAAAAGTACTGTCTGCTGTAAATGCATACTAAGCAGAACAAAGACACCTGGTTCTATTGACAAGGAAAAGCAGACACCTGATTCTACTGATAAGAAGCTATTGATAAGGAAAAGAAGAATCTACTGATAAGGGGGAGAAGCAGATGGTTTATGGCTGGGACACCGACCAAACCCTAAGGCCATACCTGGAGACTAAAAGGTGAAAAGTTCAAGAAGAGGAAGACTCATTTACTTCATCTTGAAGACCCCTACCCACAGGAGGAAGACTCATTTACTTCATCTTGAAGACCCCTGCCCATGACCAGAGGGGACACTGCGTGTGTGCAGAGGACCTTCTAGCTCATTATAATATGAAGCGGGGATAGGACATGAATATGTATAGGCATATTGTGCAACCTTATGAATATATATAACTTTAGAGAATAAATGTAGAGGGAAACAACACTGAGGCTCCATGACTTTGAGGAATTATCCCCGTGCATCTCAGTGCTGAATAAAAAGCATACCTACTTTACAACTTTAACGAGTTGTGGAGTCTATCTGAGTATCATTACCATCGTTTCTTTGCTGAACAAAAGATCTTGATAAGGGATGGGAAAATTACCCTCTGGCAAAGGTTCCTTCTTTCATCCTTGCCAAAATCTCCTCAAACTACTCTGTGATGGAGGGAAAAGGCACTGCAGAAACCTTTCTCCACAAGTAACTGGATTTTTACTGATAGAGTCCATGACTGCTCTTAGCCTCTCCATGAAATGAACAGGAAGGCAACCTTTAAAACAAGGAATTAAAATAAGATTTTCTGCATCACTAATTGTGGGAGAAGAGGACCTAGACCTTGGCTAGTAGATGGAAGTTAATTATCGGAATTACTCATGAGTTCTCACATGGACTTCCAGATCTTTGAAGCCTTCATGAAAGCAGCTCAGAAACCTCAAGGGGCTTCATTGAGAATTAGGCTTTTGTTTCTGCGTCATCACTTGTTTTTCATTATTGCATCTTCATCTTTTATGACCGTTCTTCTGTGATGAGACATCACACCTTGTATCAGAAACCCAACCTCAGGCTTACAACGGATTTCCCTAGCATCACCCATCTGTGCTTGATATAATCCAAAAGTAATTTGTCTCTATGATGCCACAGAGCTTAGTCTCAGCACACAACCCTCATAGTGAAAGCAACATAGGATATAACTGCTGCTTTTTCTTTTTTTTTTTAATTACTTTTTAATTAGAACAGAATGGACTGAAGTGATGCCTGTCCAAATTAAACTGCTTTTGAATGGCTGGATACAGAGGCCAGCCTTACAAAGCCCTTTCAGACTTAGAAGAATTCTTCCTGTCAACTGGGAAAATGATATAATTTATCACTTTTTGACTGACACAAACTGAGGAGACCTCTGGACTTAAATAGGTAAGTAAGAGTAAAAGCTCTAGCTTTTCCAAGAGCTAGTCTGCTCCTGCTCTAATCATTTCATGGCTGAGGGCAAGAAGCAAAGGTGACAGAAGAGGAGGACTACACACAGTGGAAACTAAGAACAAATTAGATAAAATTAAGATCTGTATTAAGATTAATAAACAATAATGCACTACAAAACAGTCCCTAGGCCTGCCTACACAAGGAAGGGATGGCTGACAGCTGAAGTCAGAAAAATGACAGCTGAAGCAGAAAAATGTCTCTCTTCCAACCACCTCCTTTGTTTTGTTTGTTGTTTTCTTTTTTACCCCCTTCAGCTTTTCATGGCCTTTTTTTGCCAACACTGCAAACAGCTTAATAGGAGAACAGAGCTGGTTGGATAGTTTCCCTAAAAGCCCAAGGATACAGCTGGGAACTAGGTAGGAACCTGAGTGACTCAGACTGTGAGATTATGAATTTTAAACACAAAATTTTCTTCAAGAAAAGCTATAGTTAGCAGGGAGGTCAGGTTGCTAAATGGGCATTAAAACCTGATCAGTTGGCACAGTGATCTGCTGCTGCTGCCCAGTACACCCACCCAGTATGAAACAGCTGTGGCAGATCCACGAACTTGAGCTCTAAGGTAAGGTCTGCAGCTCAGAAAACAGCTATCCTCAGAAGCACTGAGCACATATTGCTTTTATTTTAAGTCCAGTTATTTAACACTTCAAACATAACCAGGATAGGATAAAAGCTACAGTACTCAGGCCTTGGTTTTGTTGTTCATTTTTGTGTTTTTTTTTTTTTAACATAAACTTTTCTAGAATCAGTCTGTCAGCATTTGGAAAGCCGGCAAGCTAAGAACATAACATCAACCAGGTGCTCACTAACGTGCCTGCTATCACACCAGTCAC